CGGCGGTTGAAAAGTGGAGTCCCACTTTCAGACAGTATAGCGTGGAGTTAGACCCCCGCTCGGACAGCAGAGGCCCGGTCGGACAGTAGAATCCCCGCTCAGACAGTAGAGACCCGGTCGGACAGCAGAGACCCCCGGTCGGACAGTAGAGACCCCCGGTTGGACAGCAGAGACCCCCGGTCGGACAGTAGAGACCCGGTCGGACAGCAGAGATCCCCCCCCCCCCCCGGTCGGACAGCAGAATCCCCACTCGGCCGGCGCGCTGTCGCCGCTCCCATCGATCCAGCTCGGCGCTGCCGGAGCCGGCCTTGGGCGTCGCGCGCCGCCCGTTTCACCTTGTGTCGATCGGCGCCGACTGGAGCATGCGGGCCGGCCGTGCCCCCGGGCCGGGCCGGGCCGGGCCGGGCCGGGCCGGGCCGGGCTGGCGGCCACCTGTAGGTGGGCTGAGGCGGCCGGCCTGGCGGAGCCCTCCTCCACTGTAAGACGGCGCCGTGACGCCCGTGACCCGCTGTGGGTCGGTGGGACGTCCCAGCCGGGCCGGGGACTGCCCAATTTGTCAGACGGGCCCTCTCCAGCGAGCCGCCAGGTCGGGAGACGATAGTCGACAGCTCTAGCACAGCACCACGCGGGATAGCCGCGCTGGGGCGGTTAGCTGGAGCTCAGAGCAGAGCCGACCTGACTGGGCCCTCTGACGCTGACGGCAGCTCCGGCACGGTCCCGGCAGTCCTGGGACCCTCAGATGTCCTACCGTGACCCTTGCGTCACCACTGGGGACCGGGGTTGGCGCTCAGCCGGGCGCTCCCACGCCGGAACCAGCCAGTATCGCTTGGTGCAGTACATATAAGTTATAACAGTGTGTAACTGTGTGGCATCTGACTGCACCGATAGTTTACCAATGTCCAGCAACTGAAAAGCATCGCTCACATTGCTCCTACCACACATTTTACATATCATTTGTTTTCATGATCATCACCCTATAGAAGGATTTTCCTTGCATATGCATTGTTGAAAATGCGCTGGCTTATCTAATGACCCGATCACGAAGATACGAAGTGCAATATGTAACATGGACAATGGCCATGGCAAAAATAATGTTAATGCTAATTTACTGTTGCATTTGTTATTTAACATGACCTTTGCTGAGGCTCCTGCTGGGTCCCATAATGGCCTACACGACAGTTATCCCCTAATTGAGCCAGAACATGGCGACAAAAAAGGCTGGTGCACCACTGCGAGCGTACGGATGCCGCCGGTGTCCGATATCCTAAAGGTTAGCCAATGTCGCGTATCACTAAATAATGACCGCGGATAGCCCGAACTCGCCTGAGGCACGTCCCCTCACTCCGCCTAACGTCGCATATGCCATTAGCCATGTCCTTCGATGAAGTTTTGTAATAGATTGCTTATCCGATTGCTCTTATTAACGGATCATATTTTGTCTGAATTTAAAGCCAATCAGTGAACCCCAGAAGTCAGCTAATTGGCATAGAGCTCAATAGCATTAAAAGTGTGCGTTAAAAAAATGTATTAAAAAGTGCCTGAAAAACTTTGGCATCATCCATTAAGCACTCGGGGTGATGTGGCGTGATACATCAGATCACTCGGACCAGATTGGTACATTTCACCTTTGTACTCATGCATCTACGGCCAACCTACCGTCACAGTTCCAATGGTAGGTAAGTACCTACCATTGGCATTAATTTCACAGAAAAAAAAACATCTCATTGAGTGGGAGATCGTGACAGGTCACCAATGACAGGACATTGGTGAACCGCAAATTAGTTTAATTTTCCTCAGATATGGTCTAATTTAACAGGCTAACGAAATGCAACTATGTACCTAATATGTATGAACAAATTCTTGAAGAACTGCATACTGGATGAAGGCTGCAAATAGCACCAGTAAAACGCCTTTTGGGCGACCAACGGAGCGAGCGAGAGGATGGGCCTTGCACGTGCGAAATTGCGAGGGGGTACCTCCAACTAACTTGTGCACTGCACCCTACTAACCGGTCTTTAGCGATGTGCCAAATTTCAGCGCAATCGGCCTAGCCGTTCTCGAGATCTGGAAGCGGCACACTGCACGTGCGCACGTGCAAGCGGGGTCCAACCTGACTTTTGCACGATACCCTACTAACTGGTCCCTAACCGTGTACCAAATTTGAGCGCAATCGGCCCAGCCGTTCTCGAGATCTGGGAGCGCCCCCTGCACGTGCGCACGTGCTGTAGCACCCCAACCTTAACACATGCAGATGAATTTTCTGATGGAGACCTAACTGTGTACCGAGTTTCAATTCAATCGGCCCAACCGTTGTGCCGTTATTGAGGTTGCAATTTTGGGGGTTCTTAAAAAATGTCCAACTTTACCACGCGCCACGTGCGGTGGTTGGCAAGAACGCATGGTGGCCATCACACCACAGAACTTTTACGTCCAAATGACATTCAGTAAAGAAGACCGCTTGTCAATCGGATGTCCCGTTCCTAAGATATTAGCTTTTAAAGAGCGTCCCCACGGCCGGCCGGCCGCTCATACTCAGGATTTTCCCTTAATTCAGTACCAGTAAAACGCCTATTGGGCGAAGAACGAGCGAGCGAGATAGTGAGCCCTGCACGTGCGGAAGGGCATGAGGGCACTTCCAACGGGCTTGTGCAAAGCACCCTTCTAGCCGGTCGCTAGCGGTGTGCCAAATTTGAACGCAATCGGCCCAGCCGTTCCTGAGATCTGGAAGCGGCATTCTGCACGTGCGCACGTGCAAACGGGGTCCAAACTGACTTTTGCACGGCACCCTACTAACTGGTCCCCAACCGTGTACCAAATTTGAGCGCAATCGGCCCAGCCGTTCTCGAGATCTGGGAGCGCCCCCTGCACGTGCGCACGTGCAGTAGCACCCCAACCTTAACACATGCAGATGAATTATCTGATGGAGACCAAACTGTGTACCGAGTTTCAATTCAATCGGCCCAACCGTTGTGCCGTTATTGAGGTTGCAATTTTGGGGGTTCTTAAAAAATGTCCAACTTTACCACGCGCCACGTGCGGTGGTTGGCAAGAACGCATGGTGGCCATCACACCACAGAACTTTTACGTCCAAGTGACATTCAGTAAAGAAGACCGCTTGTCAATCGGATGTCCCGTTCCTAAGATATTAGCTTTTGAAGAGCGTCCCCACGGCCGGCCGGCCGCTCATACTCAGGATTTTCCCTTAATTCAGTATGAACTCGCTCGCTCGCTGCGCTCGCTCGCTCGTAATGAGACTCCGCTCGCTTCGCTCGCTCCGTAACTATTGACATTAATGGGTGCCGATGAAATGGTGGTATTTCGTGAGCCACCGCCACCATTACTGCCATCCAAATCTGTCTCAAATCTAACAGGCAAATACACACAGAGTCGATCGAAACATATCCGAAACGTATGTTCTATCGAATCTGTCCGTAATGTGTGAAGTATGCACGAAATATATATGGTTGAAGTTAAAATGAAATAACTAGTTCTACTTTTAACAGAACCGGAATCCTCCTTTCCCTCTTTTCCTTCCTCCCCCTCTCTACCTCCCTCCCTCCCTCTCTCTCTCTCTCTCTCTCTCTCTCTCTCTCTCTCTTTCTCCCTCCCTCCCTCCCTCCCTCTCTTCCTCTCTCCCTCCCTCCCTCCCTCCCTCTACCTCTCTAGTCTCTACCCCTCTTCCTGTGCCGCCGTCGATTGTTGAACACCGATCAGCAGCATCGGCCGGGCGCGGGCTGCTGCTATTCTTACACTGGCTCTCAGTCAGTCCGATCCATCGCCGCCCGCCAGACTGTCGTTCCGATATCCGGTCGAGCCCCCCCCCCCCCTCCAGTCCCCCCTCTGACGTCAGAGCGGTCCATACCGAGAGTGCGGCGTTCAATGGCCCTGCCGATGGCTACTGAAGAGCCATCAGCAGGAGCAGCTGAATACCAAGTGGCATTCGTGCGCCATTTGGGTTGTGTCGTGCCGGAGTTATGTTCCATAAGGTAGGCAATACGCCCAGCTATACCTGACTCAAGATAGTGGAGAAGAAATATTAAAAAACTTAGAAAGAAGTCAAAGCCTGCCAGCAGGCAGAAGCTTACATGATACATATTTTTTACTATATATATTGAGACGGGTTACACAGCACATTGGGTGGACGCGTTTCGTCTAAATGACTTTTTCGACACCCTCTCGGAAATTAAAACAATACAAACATACAAGAATAAAACTAGCACAGCAGTCTCACACTCTGTTGAAATACAGCATGCTAAGAATGCGCATTACTACAAATGATAACCTTCGATAAAAACTATTTGTCGGTACACAGCTACTGTTACATAATCATCGACGAGAATAAAAATAGCACACTTATAACGACTCGAACGGTAAGTTTTTTTTTTAAGTCAAGTTTTTAATGCTGAACACTGCTGCTGATTTTGCCCACTTAATAAACCCTACCCTGGTATTGATCGTATCGTTCGTTGTAATAAATGCCGCTTCGGTCGCTCTCCGACATCCCTTGTTCCCACAATTCGCTAACACTTTCGCCCGTCCCAATTTGGCAAATGACTAGTGGAATGTGCGTGAACAACAAAGGCACTGTGGTCGGCGTCGTTTCGTATGTCTCGCTTGTGCTCTTTTAATCGTGTTTGGATTCCCCTACCAGTTTCTCCAATATAAGATTTGTCGCAGTTACCACACGGTACCTGATAAACTACGCTGAGTTCTCTATTTCTAGAAGTTTTCTTTTGAGTTAACTCACCTATCTTCTTTCCAGTGGTCAGTGCCACCTTGAAGCCTATATATATTTTTTACACTCATCCCCTCCCATGTCTTTCGTCGACAACTAAGCCAATCCAAAAATGGATAAACCACGCCTATGTATGGGTGTTCACTACTCGATCATGCGAAGCCATCCAGCCAGCAGAGCGGAACAGGTAAACGTTGTCCGATTACTGGCGGTCCGGAGTACCAGCGGTCCGATGTGTTGTGACCGCGCTGTGTTCTGTTCACAGACGGCGTGTTCGGCCGGTGCGTCGACCACCGCTCACAGGACGAGGAGCTCAGAAGGTGAGCGCCCCCCCCCCCCCCGTCACACCATGACGGCCGAGAAATACCACACACATCTCTCGTCCATGGCTGAGCAGAGCACTCGCCCCGTACACGTGGTCTGTGCGATTAGCAGGCGAGGACGGGCAGGGATGCCTGTGTATGTACATACGGCCACCACCGGCACAGGTCGAGGAGAGGGTTATAGTGAACATGCTGACCATGTTGATCTTAAGAGTTGGGGTAGCTGGAAAAGTACCAGCTAATGCATTATGCAATCATCAAAGGATGTATTGACATTGAGTAATGATTTTATGCCCCGTATTAATGCGTTGTACTAGTAAACATTCTAATTTTGACCAAACGAGAATAACTCGAAGGATACGTCATCAGTCGCTCGGAAATCATGACACTTAGACGCGCAATATGGTTCAAGTCTAAGAATAAGTTACCGTTAGCCATTGACTGGACTCTCCATCCAGTCTGACAACAAACGGTAAAGTTTGAGGTCATACGAAATCCGCAAACTTTGGCGCTCTGGGTGTAACTTTGTATACTTTCGAGGTCCCATGTGGGACCCCAATGCGAACATTTGGGACCCCAATTGTCATTTTGGGACCCCAATAGTGGAGGCCCCCGAGACGCACCAGCTACTTTGCAAACGGAGGTCCGATGTTCATATAAAAGGTTCTCTGTTTAAATAGGAGGCCCCTTGGACAAATCGGAGGCCCTGTTGGACAAATAGGAGGCCCCCTGAACAAGTAGGAGGCCCCCTGAACAAGTAGGAGGCCCCCTGAACAAGTAGGAGGCCCCCTGAACAAGTAGGAGGCCCCCCGGAAAACAGGAGGCCCCCTGGAGAAATAGGAGGCTCTCTGGACAAGCAGGAGGCCTCCTGGACAAATAGGAGGCCCTAGACAAATAAGAGGCCCCATGGACAAATAGGAGGCCCTCTGTACAAAAAAGAAGCCCCCTGAACAAATAGGAGGCCCCATGGACAAGTAGGAGGCCCTCTGTACAAATAGGAGGCCCCCTGCAAAAATAGTAGGCCCCCTGGACAAATAGGAGGTCCTAGACCTAGACAAACAGGAGGCCCCCTGGACAAATAGGAGGCCCCATGGACAAGTAGGAGGCCCTCTGTACAAATAGGAGGCCCCCTGCAAAAATAGGAGGCCCCCTGGACAAATAGAAGGTCCTAGACCTAGACAAACAGGAGGCCCCTTTCACAAAAGGAGGCCCCCTGGACAAATAGGAGGCCGCTTGGAAAATAGGAGGCTACTTTAACCCTATTAGTGGCAGGCTCCTGGCTACCCCATATTAGTGGCAGGGGGGGGGAGGCTGTTTACGACCCCCCTTGATATCTCGAGATCTAACCGGCCGATTTTCAAAATTCAAACGGCATTCGATTTGGCTCAACGAGATCTACATTTCTAACAAAAAAAAAAATTAAAAAATGTCAATAGGGGGGTAGAGGGGGGTAAAAACGGGCAAATTGCAGATACATTTTAGACTGTTTATCACGGCCAGGTTTCTGAACCAATCTTAACGCAACTTTTACCGATCGATAGAGAATGAACCAGGAATTCACATGGATCCTAAAAATATGCATTTTCAAAAATCATAGGCGGATACAGATCATTGAGATTGGGGGTACACAAAAAGTATAGTAAATAAGGTTTTTGTTGGTACTGTTTCTAAAAAGGGTGGCAATGGTCTTGTTATGTTACAATTTTCTTATGAGAACGACTAAAATTGTATTGGTCATGCATAGGCGGTGTCAGGGCACCTATGTTGGGAGGTAAAAAATAACCCCCCTTTTTGGACGCCTGGATCCGCCTATTATAGCAAAAACGTGTCAAAAGAGGATGCACAATAACTTTGTATATGTTATCACATGATACCTTTCATTCACTGTTCGTAAAACTGGTGCAGCATCGTGATCTTCGCCCAAATGACTCGCTTCACGAATAGGACCCCCCAATTCCCAGTGCTCTGGAGCCGCCCCTGGTAAAGTTATGAACTTGAAATTTTCAGGGAATGTGCCCAATTTAGTTTTAGGAAAAGTCAGAAAATTTCAGCATCGTAGCTTCAGCGGTTTCGGAGATATTCCCGAAAAACCTGAGGGGTGGATAAAATCAACCCCCCTGCCACTAATAGGGTTAACCAATAGGAGGCCCCCTGGACAAATAGGAGGCCCCCTGAACACGTAGGAGGCACGCTGGACAAATAGGAGGCCTCTTGGGCAAAGAGGTCCCCTAGAAAAATAACAGGTCCCTTGGACAAATAGGAGGCCCCCTGGACAAATAGGGGACCTCTTGAACAAATAGGAGGCTCCATGGACAAGCAGGAGCTAGAGGCCCTCTGTACGAATAGGAGGCCCCCTGGACAAATAGAAGGCTCCCTTAACAAAAAGGAGTCCCTTCAAAAAAGGAGGCCCCGGGACAAGTAGGAGACCCTTGGACAAATAGGAGGCCCCTGCACAAATATGAGACCCCTAGTCGAATAAAAGACCCCTGGATAAATAGGAGGCCCCTGAACACGTAGGAGGCCCCCTAGATAAAGAGGAAGCCCCCTGGAAAATAGAAGCCCCCTGGATAAATAGGGGACCTTCTGGAGAAACAGGAGGCCTCCTGGATAAATAGGAGGCCCCATAGACGAATAGGAGGCCGCTTGGACAAATAGGAGGCGCCGTTAACCAATAGGAGGCCCCCTAGACAAACAGGAGGCCCTCTGTAACAGTAGGAGGCTCTTTGTACGTACAAGAGACCGGCGTTCGACCTGTAGAAGCTTAGCTGTATGTACACTAGGAGGCTCTCTGTGCAAGTAGTCGAAGTAGGAGGCTCTCTGTACTGTACCTAAAATTACAAATAAGAGGCCCCCTGGGCAACTTAGATGCAACACAAATCGGAGGTCACCTATAAAGAAGCGGGACTCTGTTGGAATACCTGATTTAATAAATTATTTTCCTGATATTCAAATTAATTAGGTAATCCTCGCCCGCACATGGGGGGGGGCAGTGGTTGCCACCCCCCGCCCTAGGTAGTTTTTTTTCTGCTCTGCACTAAACATTTTGATTGCTAGAAGTTGGATGTTTCGTATAGCTGCTGCTCTATCCTTTTTTAGCGTCCACTGAAAATTTCAAGTTTCTGTGGTTTTAGGTTTCGGAGATATGACCTTATTCTTCAGGTAATGTCATAACCCAAATGACAAATACCCAATATCTTGCGTTGGCGTTGGGTCTTGTGAGCTTTTGACACCTTGATTTCGGCCTTTTTTGTCAGTCTTACCTCCCACCTATCATGGAACATGTTGTTCAATGATGTAGAGATGCCATGGTCAGGGTCAAGGTCAACCTAGGTCGTCTAAAAATATTGCGTTTTAGGCAAGCTGAATTTACTTTCGTGAAGTTTCTTTTGCCGTATTTTTGGTAAAAGCTTCTCAGTTCATGATCTCATGTAATATGGACACATTCACAATCGGTGCACACATCAGTATACACACAGACACACAGACATACAAACACATGTCATTGACCTTGAGCTAACTTGACCTGAAATGACCACAGCCAGCAAAAACCTAGTCGGATAGTGTGACAAAGAGGTTCTAGCTGGCTTGGCACCACAATACGGCAGCGTCATCGGTATATGATGAGCAGCGCACGTGATATTCCAACGGGCAACGGTGACCCCAAACAGCAACATTCTTTAGTTTGACCTGACCTGGAAGGTCAATGACTGACCTGATGAGGTAAAATTGGTATCATTGGATTCGTCTCTTCCCAAATAATCTGTTGCTCTTGACCGCAAGGCTTAAAATCTTGTAAGAAAAAATTGTGGTGATGTCGAATAAGATACCTACACAAGCAGCGGGCCAACCCATCATATACCGATGACGCTGCCGTATTGGTGCCAAGCCAGCTAGAACAGCTCTTTGTCACACTATCCGACTAATTTGCTGGCTGTGGTCATTTCACGTCAAGTTAGGTCAAGGTCAATGATATGTGTTTGTATGTCTGTGTATGTCTGTGTATGTACTGATGTGTGCACAGATCGGTTTGTGTGTCCCTATTACACTTGATCATGAACTGAGAAGCTTTTACTAAACATACAGTCAAAGAAACTTCACGAAAAGTAAATTCAGCTTGCCTAAAGCGCAATAATTTTAGATGACCTAGGTTGACTTTGACCCTGACCCTGACATCTGTACATCGCAGAACAACATGTTCAATGATAGGTGGGAGGTAAGACTGGCAAAAAAAGCCGAAATCAGCGTGTCAAAAGCTCACAAGACCCATAGCCATCGCAAGATATTGGGTATTCGTCATTTAGGACATGACATGACCTGAAGAACAAGGTCATATCTCCAAACCCAAAAGCCACAGAAACTTGAAATTTTCAATGGACGCTGAGAAAAGATAGAAAAGCAGCTATACAAAAAAATCAGGTTTCTAGCTTTAAAAATGTTAAGTGTAGAGCAGAAAAACTAACTTGGGGGTGGCGACCCTCCCCCCAGGTGCGGGCGAAGGTTAACCCTCACACTTTCTGGGGTCGGCTTACGGCTAGATTCCTTGCGCAATGCTGTGCCGTTAATTTTTTTTCTATAACAAAAGCATTGTGTCAAAAGTGAAAAAGCCAGAAATTTTCGTCGATTTCGGATGCCGCGGGGGATATTTACATACAATGTCACCCTGCTGGCCTGGATCCACCAGTAGGGTCAGGTGACCTACCATTTCTTTATCAATATTCAAAAAAAAAAAAAAAATCATGGCATCAGAGCTGTGACGAAAAATAAGTGGCCTAAATCCGATGAGAAAACTGGATTTGGGGGTACCCCAGGTTTGGTTTCTGAGCCTCTGGTCCCCCTATGAAAATTTCTTAGAGGAGGCCCTGGCGTGGTTCGTAAATTACCGCTTCCGCAATTGGAGGCCCCTAATTGCTTGGAGGCCCCCACTAAATGGAGGCCCCCTTGGACGTTTGGGACCCCAATGGTGATGTCAAAGTTTCACCCATGTCTGTTGCCATACACACTGTGCGGCGATTTCCGTCGATGATGAGTTCAACTGGGCCATGATTTCCGAGTGAATGACTTTGAGCTATTCTTGGTTTAGTAAAACAAGAATAACTACGTATCCCGTAGTGGCACGATGGCTGTGCCTTGCAGCAAATTGAGCCGTCCGCACTCCCGTTGGTTGATTGCCGTCGCCCGGCTCGCCAGGTCCGGTACCGTAGGGAGCACGGCGCAGAATATAGACGCAATCAATCACTGAAATGTGTAATACTCTTGCCGGGCGGCAATATCGCTGATATTTCACTGAGCTCCATCTATCACCAGGTTCGCCGTCACTTTAAAGTAAATCACATTAAATCAAGCTTAGCAGGCATCCAGCACCGAGTTTCGCGATAAATTTGGAAGACTTGGTCCAAAAATATACCGCTCGGGTGCGATGGTGGCTGCTCTCGGTGTCAGACAGTTGCCCAGACTTCGAAACATAAGAGGGTAAATAATTGATAAATGCGTAGGGTGAAGTCGTATAAGAGTGCGCACTTAGTGGATTTTTTGCTCTCATTTGTTAAATATTTGAAAGAAAGAAATCGCAAATATGGAATATTAAAGTTCATTTAATTCGCCATCTACCCATGAGGCAACGATCCTTCAGCGTAAATGGAAGTGGTCTAAAACTGACGTTTTCTGAACCGCTGCTGTTGCGTACTCTTACCACATGGGGTGGGCAAGAGTACGCACACCATGCGGGTGGAGTACGCAAACATATAGGTAAACACACACCTATAGGCAGCTTTTACTGTCCAAATGCTTAACATCAAACTCAGAAGACATTTAATTTAATTCTAGTATCAAAAAAGAAAAAACATAAAATAAATCTTGCATATCTATAAATCAAGAAATGATCAAGTCATGTGACTCTAAAAATGTACCTACAATCAAAAGGGAGAATAAATCGTGTTTAGAAGAATTTCGGGTACGCATCTGCCTCACAGTGCTCCATTGATGATATACCTACAAAACAAACGTCATTGAGCGATATATCAATAATTTGATATTTCTGTATATTCGATATAATGTATAATTCTGCGTACTCTTACCCTCATGAACAGTGCGTACTCTTACCCTACCTGCAATTCGCGCACAAAACAACCCCGAAACATTGTGTAAAGCTTCACAAAAAAAAAATTGCACTGCACGGTATTTCACCAGGAAAACTCACAAGTTTCCCTCAACTATCACGAAAATGTACCTTATAGTCAAAATTGATGTGAAAATGATCAATAACATGCCAAAAATTGTATTTACCTTATCTCAACTGCCAAGTATCAAAATTATTGTACCATACCATAATAATATCATAACGCTCCAAAATAATATTCGTCGCCTTAAACTCAACAGCGTCGCCGCACAACGTCCACGTTCCGTTGGTGACAAACACGTACTGGCGGCTTCATGTCACTTCATGAACTCGACAAACCCGCGTTGCTAGGCAACCGAAACAGCTGATGCGTACTCTTATCGCCCGCGTCCTCTTACCCGCCCTTACCCTAAGCCACATATGCAGCTGTAAAACCTACATATAGTGGGTAGCCTGGTTTCCCGGAACCTGCTACCTACTTGCCTTGTTCTTGACTGGCCTTTAGCGATATCTACATAAAAATTATCCGGCGATCTGAGCCCTCTGACCGACATCTGACCTCTTTGCCCGTGACCTGACCAGTGCCCGGTCTGACCTGCCCCCGACCCCGTCTGGTCACCGTGCAGATTGGAGCTCTCGCCGGACGAGCTGTCGGAGCTGCCGGCGGTGCTGGAGCGGCTGGTGAGCCAGGGCCACCGCTGGTCACACATCTACACCCAGTGTGTGCTGCAGTCGCGGCTGGCCGAGCTGCAGACCGGGTGAGTCGCCGCCCGGCGCGGGCCGGACCATCCTAACCGCGGTGACCCGCGCCGCCCGCTGCACAGCGCGCTGTGCCTGCACCTGCCCTGACCCAGTGCCGGGGCGAACAGAGTGCCCGCTCCCGCAGGGTCGGCCGCTGCTGGGCCGATGACCATCAGCGGCCGGTGACCCACGGCGAGGCCACTGACTCCCACTGCGTGCGACCACTCCACCCGTCACTGTCCGAGCCCTGAGCCGACCTCCCAACATCCGGGGCAGCCGCTTCATCACACCACTCTGGCCGCTTCATGACACCACTCTGTACGATTGGCTGCTTTTGTCTCTGTTTCTTCTGTCTCAGTCTCTGTCTATTTCTTTATCCTTGTCTCTATCTCTGTCTCTGTCTCTGTCTGTCTAGTTATGTCGCCATATCTGTCTTTGTCTCTGTCTCTGTCTCTGACATGTCTCTGGGATGGGTCCTAGTGTATCCCTCTCCTCCCCAGGGAGATTAATGTGTTCTTCCCGCGTCCTCAAGAATCGTTCCAGAATATGTTCGTCCTGTCCTCTGGGAGCGGCCCTGAGTGTGTCCCTCCCCAGTCCCCGGTGGCCGGCCCTGAATATGTGTCCCACCGGCACCACAGGGACCCGTCCTGAGTAGGTATGTCCCTCTGCTCCCCAGGGAGCCGTCTGACGCGTCGGCCTGTGAGCTGGTCAACGAGCGGCGTCTGCCGGGTCTGCCGCCCGGCTCTCGGGCAGTACCGGCGCTGCCCGACCTGCCGGACCTGGTGGGGCCGCAGCAAGAGCTCGGGCTGACCGCCGACCGCCGAGACCTCGAGCCGCCGTCCCAGGTCAGCCGGCCAGTCACCCCGGTCACCGGCACCGGCCGCCACACACGGACACGGAGATTAACCCGCGCCCCACTGGGGTCTGCGTTTAACACGCCCTACTGGGGGGGGGGGGGGCTATTCATAGCCCCCCCTCCTAACTCCGAAACTACTGGACCGATCGTCAAAATTCAAACGGCGTCTGATAGCCCCGGAAAAACTGTCGAGCGAAACCTAATTTCATTGACCTCGAGGTCACCGATGACGTCACAGGTTAGGTCAAAGTAAAAACTATTAGCATTTTGGCTTGTTCACGTTTTGGGCTCTGGCCGCCGTCTTACAAGTCAGATCAGGCTCATTTTTGGTTCACACACTCGTGAACAGATGCTCTAGATACCCTGAAGGTATCAAACTTGTACTTTGATTTTCAGGTCAAGGTCAGGTCATCACAGGTCACGAAAATATTATATCATGCGTCGGTCACGTGACACATGTTTTATGGTCCATTTAGGCCAAAGATTTCGAATTTGATGTCGTCTGTGTCATTCGAGGTCATTTTGAGTCGAATTTAGCTTAGGTCAGGTCACTTTCAGGTCAAAAAAGGTCAAATTTTGAAGTTATAATTTTTCAACAGAAAAGGTGTCTATTGGATGCAGCTTGAACTCAGGAACACGATGGTGCTATTTATATTGGCGTACGATGTCAAATACGTGGTGAAAAATTGATTTGAAAAATAAATAATTGTGAATTTTTGCAATAATTCGAATAACTTGGCCATTTTTGAAGATATTTAGCTAAAATTTGCTAGAGTTAGTCATAATAACGCGTTCTGTCACATATATTCCGTTTTTTTTTCGAAAAGTCAAAAACGTTTTGAAAAAAAATGTAAAAATGTAAATTTTAAATTTTATTATAATTTTTTCCGAAATTTTCAAAATTTTGAAAATCCGAGATAGCAGTTTGATAGCGCAGTCTATTCTGAGTCCTCTCATGTAAAAAATTGGATCTAACTTAAAAACTGAGCCCTTGGGAGCGATTGCCGTGGTTCAATGTTTTGCGTCGAAATCGGCCGAACATGACGTCACTCTGACGTCATTTCCGGCAGACCTATGGTAGCTAAGAAGTTCAAATTTTGACACAAGGTGTCAAATTGATGTAGCCGAAGGTACTGAAAGTTTGGCGTCGATACGTCAAGCGATTTGGAAGTTATTGCAGAAAAACGGGATGGGGGCTATAAATAGCCCCCCCAGTGGGGTGCGGGTTAATTAGCAGGGGACACGGACGACTTATGCTGGTAGTTGACGGTGGGCCGCCGTAAATACGCAGACACATGTTACAAGCGTATTGATGAGAATCATCATTTGTCGGGCTAATATTGTGTGCCTTGCAGCCATTAGGTACCATTGATTTATTGATGCGCATGAATAGGAAATAGGTGGAGGCGATGACTGCATCCAACGCATGATGATTTTCTATCATGGACGGCGGAAAATGGGAACAATAGTGACGAGCTTATAAGGTTACGTGCAAACATATCAGGCACATAGCAAGCATACATGCCATTGCACACCGCACAGGTTCCTCTGTCTGGGAGTGGGAGAGCTCCTGTGTTTCACTGAAAGCAATATTACCACCCGCTGTTGGGTGGCGCCGGATGGTCGAGCCATCGATTCCCTACGATAGGCGCAGGTGACTGATAACTGCAGAGGTAGCGGAGCGCGGCCCGTCGCTCCCCGCACGGCCCCGACCGTCTCCCCGTGGCGCCGCGGCCCGGGACAGGGCCCACAGCGTCCGACGGCCCAACTGGCCGGATCCTAATCCTCCATCACCGCCTCCTCAGAGCGCTATAAAACCGGGCCGGAGCCGACCATATGGCGTCCGCCGCCCACCGCCGCCCTCAGGTCGATACGGTGTCAGAGGAGCGACTCGCTCTGCCCACGTCCCAGCTGAAATGTCAGCCGATGGTCGGACGGGCGCGGCGGCGGCTCGGGTGCTCCTCCGAGCGCCGATCCATACCGCGGCCGGTGGGGGGACACCAGAACACCGCAGTCCGTGTACTGACGGCGGAGAACACTGCGATGGGTGACGGCGCGGCGGGGAGCAGATACGGTGGCAGGATCCAGTCCAAGAGTTCTTAACCCTAGAACGCCTGGGGGGGGGTTGTATCAACCCCCCCCCCTGAGGTTTTTTCGAAGTGCACGCTAAACGGCTTGTCGTAGCGGGCTGAAATTTTCAATACCCTCTAGGGCAACCTTTGCACATCTTTTGCCGAAAAAAAAATTGATCGGGTCATGTCAGGTCACGGAGTTATGACGTCATAAGAGGTACAGCCTCCGGCCGGATTTTCACAAACTGAGTGCCAACGCCCGAGGTTTCCTGCCGGTGGTACGGACATCGGTTGATGGATCGTGATGAAACTTCCCATGCATGTTGGGGCAAGTATTGGCTATCATATGGTATAAGAAATTTGACCGGGTCAGGTCAGGTCACGGAGCTATGACGTCACAAGAGGAACAGCGTCCGGTACTATTTTTGAAAAGCGCCCGAACCACTATTTTTCTAATTCTTGTCACCTCAATGGGAATATGCAGCAATATTAGCTTCTATAGGGAGCAAATGGACCTCCCAAATCCAAAAATACAATCAGATTTCAAAAATTTAAATTTTGATTTTTCGAATTTTTGCCGCCGACTGTGACCTTGCCGACTTCCGGCGCTCCCAACGCGCCATTTTTAGAGCTAGGGAAACGAAATACATACCAAACGATAGAGAATTGATCAAGGAACACGATAGTGAAGGTTTCAAGTCGATATCTCCCACCGTTTTGCCGCAATCGCCGCCGAAAGTTGAAAAAAGTCTATTTTTCCGAAAATTTGACCTTTGACCGGTCAAAAGTAGGTCAAATGTTGACCTAGGACCAAAAATATACCACCAATCGCGAGATCTCGTTGAGAGCAATCCGTTGGTTTTTTCCGCTAAGCTCTACGACCTTCCGTTTCGAAACGCCAGGGGGGGGGGTCGTAACAACCCCCCCCCCCTGGTCGTTCGTGTTATGAGAAATGGCCTGGTCGTGCGAGGGTTAATATGTCCAGTACTCATAAGGTAGCTTGGAAAATAATATATGATTTCAAGCTTTTACGTCTAGACATCTTCATTCAAGGTAGGTACGTTTTTTCGGCTAATAAACGACTAGTAGCCGAAAAAACGTACCTTGAATAGCTTGGAAAATATTTAGGTGGATCACTTGCCATTGTATTGATGACTATCGGATTCCAACTTTTTGGTACACCAATACCAGCTTGTGAATTGGTATTTAGAATCTAAAATTTTGGTATTTTTTGGTATTTTATTGGTTTAATTAAGCCTCCATGATGTATAAATTGTTCTAAACTTGGTAAAATCGGTATTTTCAACACCGTCTCATATTGGTTTAGTTTTTGGTATTTTATTGTGGTTTTGGTCGGTATTTGGTTTGGTATGGTTTCCAAATGATCTGCAATTAGCATTACTACTTACCACAGACGTGAAGATTAGTTTGCACTCTCTCATCTCTCAGAGGTGAATTTACAAAGTTGCCGGTACGCACCATCGGAGCCAAATCTGGTATTATCTGAAAGGCTTTATCAGCCAATTGGGGGCGACAGCGAATAGCTCTTGGAATGACGTTACAGCCGGCTCACCATCCCGGGCCCGCCAGCCAGCCAATAACAGTCGAGGCAGCGGTGACTGCACGCTTATTGAAACGTGACCCGGCTGGGCAGAGTCCACGTTTATAAGAGGTTGCTGTGCGAAAAGTCAGTTAAGTTGAAGGATGCCTATGACATTTTGTTGGAAGTGCAGGCCACCGCGGGAAATGGAAACCTCTCCTCCTACCTACAGGCCAACCGCCCTAGCCGCCAAGGGTCTACAGCTGCAACATTTTAGTACAGTCGGTGGTTTATATGGGGATATGGTTATTTTGAAATACCGATGAAAAATAGCGCATTTCGAAAATAGAAGTCGCTAAATGTGCGACTTGTAGTAATGCTTCGGCACGCCAGAGAGGTGTGGCGGTGGCCGCCATTTGTTCATCTTTCCATTGTCTTTTTTGGTTATCCGTGTGGTTTGAATGGCCTGGTGCTGGCTGCTCACGGTCCCGAAAAGTCCGTCCCCTTGCAGTCCATATGGTCCGTATGGTTCGAATGTCCCGCACCCCGTCTGGCCCGTACGCTCCATCTGCTCTGTATGCCCCTCTGTAGGCTCCGTGTGATTGTTTTGGTTCGTATGATCCGTGTGCTCCGTGTGACCGCTGGGTCGGTATATCAGCGGGTCCATATGGTCCGTGTGGTGGAACAGGTCGGCCGTGGGCGGTCGGCGTGGGCCGCGTCCGCCCGCCACCCACGCCGCCGCCCACCGCCGGCGGCGGCCATCGATTCAGCAGCGCGCGCCGCGGCGGCCGGACCCACGCAACACTGCGACAAAAACACCCCCGACAGAATTAACACCGAGCCCCTCCGCCCGAAATAGACCGGCGCGCAATACAATACGCAGGGCAAGGGGTATACACCATCAAAGGGGTATTAGGATAATTAACAACGCAGACACTGCGAGTAGTGGTCACTGGCCGCGGTGGGTACCGGCAGCACGCAGCCGTTATAGTCGCCTGCCGGCCAACACCACTGGTCAGTCGTCAATGGTCAGTACCGACAGCACAGCAGTGATGGTCGCTGCACCAGTCAGTGGTCAGTGTCGACAGCAGGAGTCTCCCCCAAGTCCCGGAGTGATGCCTGTCAGTTTCACCGTTTGCCTGGTCGTTGCTCCGGTATAACCTCTTCCCCGATCGCGTCTGTCGGGCCGCACATTCCGTTCGCTCCGGCCATCCGGTGAATTATATAACAGCGCCGCCCTCCGGTTCCCACTCGAGCTCGTCTCCCGCTACCGCCCAATCCATCCGCCGGTGGCTGTCAGGGGCCTCTGACGGCCCAGTGAACGAGCCTCCCGTGATGAAATGACCAGCATTCAGCGTGAAAGGCAGATGAATGCGG